CCATCTCATTTAGTGTCTCGTGATGACGAATGTATGGCAGTCAAACATTCCTTTGATGAACCATATCCCCGAGATATCATTTGCTTTTGACATGCAAGGAATCCAATTAACAGCTTGTGGATCTTCGTTGTTTTTCTAGAAGGAAGGTGATCATTTCTTATAATATTTTCACTTCAATTCCAAACTCATGAATATCTTCCTTCTCAAAATACATTTTCAATTCCTATTCAGTTCATTGCACCTTCTCTCAGTGTTTTCTTGTGACGTCCTCATCGGGCATCTTCATATAATTCCCTTTGGCAATGTGCGTCATCTTGCATGTCACATGCAAATGTCACAAATAATGTGACATATCTCCCACGTCTTCCACCTGTTTCTCTGAACTTCTCAATTACATCACTCCACCACACCCATCATTCAACAAACATGTCTCAACCACAACGCCGATTCTTTCCCAAGCCACCAAAGAAACATGTACCTCCAGGATCAGCCACTACTCCAACCACCTCCCAGAATCCGAGTACCAATCGACGTACTCGCAATCAAACCAAACCGGCTACGTCAACAGCTCCGCCAACTAGACCTGTCACCAAACGCCGGGCAAGTGAACGCACCAAGGCCGCATCTGAACAACCTCAGCCAAAGCAAGCCAAGCTAACTCAGACTCAGGCGGTGAAATCCAAGAAGATGGTCAATCGTCCTCCTCCACGAAAACCATCTCCTCGACGTCGTACCCCGACTCCAACTCCTCCTGCAACTCCTCCTCGACATCGTACTCCAACTCCTCCTCCTCCTGCGTCATCTGGATCTCTTTTACGGGATCCATTCAACCAGAAAGATTTAGATATGTTTAGCTTCAAATCAGCTGCACAAATTGGTGCGTTTTCTTCTTCCTTTCTCTCTTGTCTTATCTCTTCTCTCTGTCTCGATTTTCTTCTTTACTGACTGGACTGATTCACACTTTGCCATAGCCCAAGCCCACGAATACGGCCCGGACAAGTACATAACTCAGAAAAAAACTTGCAACAACACCCATCACCGCACCACCAACAACAACACCAGCAGCAGTCGTGCACCAGCAAGGGTTCACCAAGTCGATTTTCACTCAGCTCGTCTTCCGAACGGATTTATGCCCTTGCAGGGTTCACGATTACAGATCTACAACAGATGTGCTGTCCGTGCCGATCTTGACGACCAATATATGGCAAGCGGACGTGAAATATGTAGTGTAAGATTTCACGTTGATGACTTGTCTAGCGTGTAACCACTGATCTATTAAATCTTCCCTTTGGCAGGCGATGACGCCTGACGAACAATTTATAGCCTCAACCACAGTTGCACTGGCAAATCGTCAACAGATGACCAATATATACAACGACCTCACTCAACAGATTGGTGAAATTCGGGATCTTGTGTCACGACAAGGCCATGGCGTCTCCGGCGACGCTGCCACGGTAGCACCTTGGCTTTCAAAAGTGGATGGTCAAGTGAGTCCACCACCAACAGTGTAATTTTAACAATAACTTGAACACATTAATCACATTGTGTATCATAGAAATCTATTCGCCGAAGCGCGATGAAGGCAATTTTACGAGGTGACCTGCAGGCTTATACAGCAACCAAGAACCGATATGGCAACAAGGCAACACTCCCAGTTTCTTTATATGCTGCAGTAATGGTAAATCATTTATATTTCTTATTTATTTTGAATCAAGCTGAATACTTATAACATTTCAGGGACGCAATCATGTCCAATCCCATTAAATGGCAAAAACGGTTGCTTCCAAAAGGCTATGGCAAGAATGCCAAACCCCTCCAAGTCAAGGCCGTGAAGACCCTGGTCAATGTTGTCTTGAAAGAAGTGCAAAAAGTATTTGAAACAGAGGTACGTTGTTGTGTCTTCTTTTGGAATAATTTCTGACTGTTTCCTTTTGACTTTCAGCTGCTTCAAAGCATCCAACTGCCCGGCGACGCACCACCACAGACAATGGTAGTGTACCATCGTTGAATACGATTGTCGCCAATGTATGTGCGCGTATTCCTTTTCTCATCTGGCCCAAACTAATCTTTGTGTGACATAGCTTTACGATAAAGAAATTGGTCAAATAGGAGGTCGAGTTCCTGTTCGCGATGAGGTCTTTGATCAGGTGGGACATCTGCAAAAGTCCCGTTATGCTTACCTTGTGCGTCGCTTTGACCGTATCCTTTCAGAGGGTTCTCTTTCATTTTTAATCCGTTGACGGTGGTATTTTATTTGTCTCATCTCAGAGACTGCAAGCCTGTCATTGGGGCTTTTACAAGAAAGATTACAGAGACGGTGCGACATTTTGGAGCATCATGGACGAGAAATTGGAGTTTCTGCGGGGTCAAAGTAGCAGGTATCGACATGCGTAAGTGATTCTCCTCTATATAAAATTGAAATGGCACGCTGTGGTACTAATAGCACAACAAGGGCTATACAGTGCTTTGAAAGAGGATAATCTGCAAATATAATGACTTTACAGAAGGTGTCTGTGACTGCTCTTTCTGAGAATCTTTAACAAACTGGACTTTGTTGTTAAAGTCTCCTGATAACAGGGAAAAATAACCAGGACTTTGATAATAGAGAAAAGTATCTTGATAATAAGGCACCAGAGAAATTAACTCAACACAAAAGTGTTATTCCAAATGAAGCTTTTAGCTTACAGCCCTTCTTAGAAATAATGGTTTTTTTTTTTTTTTTTCACTCCCA